AAATTTTGAACCCTGATCAGACTGGATCACCTTTGGAATACCAAAAATAGAAATGAACTGTGTCAGACCCTTCACCACAGATCTAGCAGTAATAGTACAAAGCCGATACGCAGCTGGATATCTTGTAGTTTKACATATTATTGTTAACAAATAGTTACTTCCAGCTTTAGAACGTGGCAAAGGACCGACGCAGTCAATAATGAGGTGTTCAAAAGGTTGCATAATTACTGGGATTGGATACAAAGGAACTGGTTTAATGCTCTGRTTTGGCTTCCCTGTCATTTGGCACGTATGGCAGGTTCTAATATATTCTGACACATCCCTTTTTAACCAAGGCCAGAAAAAGTAACGCAGGATGTAATTATAAGTTTTATGGACCCCCATATGTCCAGACTGATCATGACCAGCTCCTAACACTTCACTGCGAAACTTAGTGGGAACAACGATCTGCCAAAGCGGATCACCCACAAAATCTTCCCCATGTGCCAACCATTTTCTCACCAGCATTCCATCGTTTAACAMGTATCCAGTTGCAACACTCTCCTCATCAGTGAGAACCTGATCATATAGATGGCGAAGAAAAGGGTCAGGTCTCTGCCATCAAMTCACTGTGAGGAATAGACAAAAAATAATCAGGGATATCTATAGGGGAAAASTCACTCTTTTCTGCCCCCCCACCTTCAGGGTCAGGAGTAGACTGTCTCAGCACGACACATAGCTCATGTCACCGCACAAGCTGTAAAAACCCTGGGGAAGCACTGAGCACTCTCATCTGGTTTCTCTGTGACAGGAAAAGATGTAACTATGGGTGAAGGCGGTGGACTATCAGTCCACACCCGGCTTCCAGCAAGATCATTGCCAAGAATAACATCCACCCCCTCCAGGGGAAGTGCAGGACGCACCCCCATGATAACCTCCCCACAAACCAACCCAGTTTTATGTCAACCTATGCAGTGGAACTGGAAGCACCGTTAACCCCATTCTCCGCATCAAGACATAATCCCCAGTGTTAGATTCCTCAGAAAAGGGCAATACAGAGCTTACAATATATGAATTAAAAGCCCCRGTATCCCRCAAAATTTTTACCGGCACCGTAGCCTGACTTCCCATCAAGGACACTTGGCYGTCTGAGACAAAAGCTGAAAAATTAACCTGGTCCAAGGTGCACCTCCGTTCTGGTTCCACCTGTTCAGAAGAGGAAACAGAACCAACATGTTTTTCAGAGACAACAAAAGCAGCAGTTTTAACWTGAGGACCTCGTTTAGGACATTCACGTTTCCAATGACCCCTGGCCTTGCAATGATGAGTTGGATCAACACATGCATGGCCACTCACCACCCGTACTGACCTACTGTTACTCAGGTCAGAACCAAGGCCTTCCTCCTCCTTCCTGGGTCCTGCTACAGGAAGCTGACCAACCCCTCTGTAATGAAAGTCATTACGAATATGATACTCACACCCCACCCCACCCCACACCCTATGTGTAAGCACATACAGCAGGTAAAATAAGTATTGAACACGTCAACATTTTTCTCAGTAAATATATTACTAGAGGTGCTAATGACATGAAATTTTCATCAGATGTCGGTAACA